ACAGTGCATCGTGTTGTATGCTAACTGAGAGTAAGAGATCTAGTTTTGCTTAACGAACCTCCCTCAAATCCAAGCTTTTCCAGTTATTGGTAAAAATTAGAATAACGTACCTTTATTGATGGCATCTTTATCAAAATATAGAGCATCTTTGATGCGAAAACTGCAGTCATCTCCTCCCCATAATCGGTCACAGACACACTTTATTTCATTGCTACAAACCTGCAGCCAAAAGCGTAGCTCAGAATAAAATCATAAAATTAATCTATTCCTGTAATTAATACCTACAGTACAGGTACAATGATATAGCACTGATTTTGACTGCCTGCAAAATTTTGCAAAACATTTTTAATATATAGCAATTTTTAATTTCTATGTTAGATATAAATGTATTAAATGTATTATTATACTTTATATACAAATATATGTAATACGTATTAAGTACCTTAATATATTTTAATGTAATATATATTTAATAGAGCCATTTATAATTGCTTTGGGAGACTCTGAACCTCAAAGATTTGATTTTTTCAAAATATGAAGAAGTGGCTAATTTCAGATAAAAAGGGGAGTTTTAATGCAGTGTAAAAGACAAAAGATGTTATGAGAGAACAACTCCTTTGTTCGCAGCTCAGCCATAGGGACCTGAAGAGTGTTTCAAACTGTGAGGGACTAAGGGACTCGCCAGGGCCACAGTAAAGCCACAGGCTGGGCGCTGAGCGGAGAAGCTGCCACTAGCCAAGCGCCAGCTCACTGCCCTCTTCTCTAGAGCAAAGTAACTCTCAGCCAACAAAATCCAATGACTTTATGAACCTTCTTGGCTGTTGACATAAGACAGAGGGGACTAGAAAGAGCATCTGGAAGAACAGAGACCCAAGTTTCTCAGTTCTTAAACCTTTATATTCTCCAGTGCGCCACCTGAGGAAATACCAAGTTAGCAGAAGCGATAGCAAAAGAATTGATTGATAAAATTTTTGCAAAATATGTACTTACTGTGACTCATTGTTTAAGATACCTTGACTGGTATGCATCATGTTTATTTATGTGCCTCCTCCCCCTTTCCTTTTCAAAAGCTTCTCCAGTATAAAGACTTCTAGACTCACGCTGCTGGCTTCCTGAAAGGTCTAGCTAGTACACTACACAACGCCAGATACTCAGCAAAAGTAGAAAAAAGGATTAAAGAGTACAAGAACATACACCGTGTCCTGAACAAATCTGGCTGTCTGTGGTGCCTGGGCAGGTACTGAAGTTGAAGGCCTCGGTGGGGAGGCAGCGATGCTCAAGGCACACCATGTTCGGCCCGCATGGCGTCCCGTTCTCCACATAGCCCAGGTCTGTCTCCTCATCCAGCTTCACATGGCCACCGCTGCAAGACAACCAAGAGGACCCTGGAGACTTGTGCTGTGATTAGATGGGAGTACTTGAGAAATTGGGCACTGGGCTGCTGCCTTCATTTCTGTCTGCATTATACGATGCCCAGGACCAGGAAAGAGTAAGTATTGGCTTATTTATCTCACTGGCCCTAAGGTGAAACAAAGCAAAACGCAGTATATCTACATCAAACAAATGTAATGGTGAAAACAAAGACCATTCTTCCTGTGTAAGAGCTAGTGTTGCATAAAACATTGAGTTTACTTTGTTTCATCTTACAGTTGTGTGAAGCTATGAGAACACACCAGGTCTATAATTGGGATTCAGCTAACATATGGCAATGTATTAAGCTGCCAGTTAGCTTTGGCAGTGCAGGCATATGTCTAAGTATTTTGAGTACATTAAGTACTTCACAAACATTAAAGAATGTAAAATCAAGAGGCCAGAGAACAGCATTATGTCTCTACAGGCAAAATTAACTACTATACAGAGGGGACTGCAAAACAGCTGCGCTCCCCACATGCAGTCAAGTTCCTGAAGCTTGGTTATGTGTTAATAGGAAAAAACATTTAATGGAAACAGTTGTTCTCCACATAGGAAAGAGAAAGCTGCTTTTCCATGCAAGATGGATATTGATTGTCTCTGCTCTGCTTTCAGGATTTCCAGTTACCTGCAATTGTAGACTTTTCCAAACTGCAAGATTGTCGATGTGATTTCACCATCAAGTTCTCCAAGTCTGGGCACACTGGATATATTGGAGCACAGAAGGTATCCACAAAGCACATCCCTGCATTGAGAGAATAAACAGATACTCACTGAAAAGAAAATTCAATGAAAATGGATGATCAAAAAAATAATGTCTTTCTTCATTTGCTTTGTAACATGTTTGTTATTCCTTGCTTTTCTCCCACGGACAGTAACTCCCATAAATAATGTCTTGGTTCCCAAGAAAATTATTCTCCTTGGAGCTTAAACAGGGAAAAGTCTTTTTTAAGATGTATTATCAAAAATGTTCTGAGTAAGAGCAAGCAGGGAGCTGTCAAGAACAAACCACATCAAATTGATTTATTATCCTACTAAGATACAGTAAGTAGCCCATAGAGGAGACGCAGTAGACCCATAGAGGAGAAGCAGTAGATACCAGCTTTAAGCAAACTCATATGACACACATGTAAGGGAACTAGAGACACCAAGTTTAATTCAGCTGTTGAAGGGACTTTACAACTTGTGTGCGAAGACTTGTGCGCTGTCTGGCCTCTCCCATATTACCGACTATTTTTATTCATAAATTTGTAATGGAACAGAAGTAAGGTTATCAAATCTGCACAGAAAGGTGGGAAAGGACATTAGTTCACCTGTAGGCAGGACTGGAAGTCAAAAGGCAGAATGAAGAACTCATCTGAAAAAACAGGGTGTAGTTTGATGAGGACTGGCAAAAGGCTCAGAAATAGGCACAAATAATCAACTGCATAAATACAGAATGTGAAACAATGGGTTAGGCAGCAACTTGCAGGAAAAGATGTGGATGGTTACAATACAATGAAAGCTGAACACGGCTTAGCAATGCGCAATGGCACAGCATAAAAGGTGAACACCACACTGAGACATGAAACCACGGGCTGCTCTCCTCTGCACTGCTAAGCCTCACCAAGAATACTAGGACCACTTTGGGTCCAAGTGCTCCCAAAGCTCAGATGGTGCTCTCTTGACAGAGATCATCTCCTCTTGACACTCCTCTCCTTCCAGAATTTCCTGCACTAAGGTCTGCAGAAGGCGGCCAGGAGAATTCTGTTCTGTACAAAGGCTTTTTGAGCCTCTTCATGCCAGCTGAAGAACTGGATCAGGGATAAAAATCTCTTACCAGTTGTCTTCTAAATGGGTCAACTTACTGTTTATTGCACTGTATCCAAGAGTCCTTGTCTCTTCCACAGTTTCCTTTCTCAGTCCCTTCAATATTCAGCTTCTCATAGCAGTACCTGTCAGCAGCTGTCACTTCTAAAAACAGAAACAAATCTCTTCTAAGATGATGAAGGCTTCGAAAAGCCAGGTCCTGGGAAATGGTGATGCACAATCAAAGCAAGCAGAACTTCCCATTAGTGAAACTCTGCACAGTGTTCTCAATGAAAAGTTTTGTTTTGGCACCACAGGACTGTTTTAAGATTTTATCCAGACTGACCAGGGTTTATTGGTCCAAAATGTCCAGAAGTCACTGAAATAAATCAACAAATATGAGTATAGGCTCCCTAGGTGGTTATTAATGAGAAGTTAAACCTAAGATTTGGAATAATCACCTGTAAGTTAACCCAACACTAGAGAAAGAACTGGAAAAGAGGATGGAAAGACAAAATGAGAAGGGAAGAGGGGGAGGGACATACAGTCCTAGCCGTTTGTAACGGTTCTGAATATGTCTCTTCCATAATTTTTCTCAGCTAAGATAATTTTTCAAGCCACATGAATGACAACTTAGAAACAACATTCACTCACTTTCACCCCAGATATATTTACACTGCCGGTCCCTGGTTTTACATCTTCCTCCAAAACAAATACCCTAGAAAGGAAGAAAAGGTACAGAAAAAGTTTCAAATAACTTGATTTTCAAAAATATGTATTTGTTTAACATACAGATTTGTCACATGCTTTCTATTGAGGCAACTAATATGTGATTCTACTTTCTGTTCATTTAAATGCTTAGCTCCAAAATATAACTAGCACCCAAAACTCAGGAATGTCAGCAGAACTGTTCCAGGTGACTTCCAAAAAGCTTAAACCAAAATCTATAAAAAGCAATCTATAAAAGCATAAAGAATGTAAAACAAATTGACGTGCTAATTACCTGCTTGTTATCACACGAATATCCATCCATTTTATGAATATTGGGAGAACACTATAGAAAGAGAAAATAACTAATAAATCATAGATCAGAAAAGCATGGAAGCAAAGCATACAACAAATGTCATATGGAAAATTATTTCAGTTACATGCTGGTTTTTTCAGTATCAGCAGGTTTAATACCATTTTTATACACCTTACTATACAAAGCGGTAACATTCATAGTGATTGAGAGAATACAGGTGGGTTTTTTTAATGTCTTGGGTAGAAGATACAAAAATCACCTGACTGGAATTTCCTGTGCAGTTCTCTGCAATATCACAATCGTTCACTGCTTCTCGGCACAAAACTCCTTTAGGTTCAAACTGAAAAAAAAGGATAGAAAATTAGTGTCTTGACTTCTCCGTATCTTGCCTTAAATGCAAAGCTTTCTTAGAGTTGTAACTAAAATAAAAAATGGGAAATTTTCATGTGCTGACTGAAGCGGGAAGACTTTTCTTTCCCTTGTGCAGACACTGCACCTGTCAAGCCCCCGGCCATTTACTGGTGCAAGTGGTACCACTCTCTGAGACAACCCCTCCTGAGTGCATCGAGCGTGGGGCTGAGCAGGATAAGTGCTCTCCCGGGACACAGGACCCCTGGCATTTATCAAATCAATACTGCAGTGGCTTGCAGCATTATCTTGACCAGGTCAATGTGCCTTTCTGTGACTATTTTACTCTTCTTTATAAAATAGGGAGAGTGATCCTGATCTTCTTTCTAGGGGTGAAGAACACTACAAAGCTCTAGGTATAAACACTACAGTTATTACAATTCTCCATTGTAGAACAGAAACTATTAATAAATGTACTGAGTTCCGTACGGTTTGACACCATTTTCTAAGTGACCAGATATTTAACAACGAAAAATGTATCAGTGACCTAACATGGACATTTTGGTTAAAGACTTCTGTACTAACTATCAAGACCTGTAAAAGCACCGAGACATGCCCTTAGCGCCAATTGTTAGTGAGACCCCTTATATTCCCTGAAAGGTTTCTTAAGGCTGTGATACCCAGTTCATTTTGCAGCTCTGTGACTTTTTTTCTGGATCTGCATGCACATATATTTTTTTGGGAACAACTCCTAACTCCACAGCTGGTGTGAACAGGCACACGTCAGTGGAAAAGCTAGACTCTGGTACTTTCTCAGCCTTCAGCTTATCTTTTCCCTACCGGTCTCTGGAAAAATGCAGACAGACAGGAATGTTGTCAGAGACACTACAGATGCTGGGATGTACACCCACTGTGTTTTGCTTGCAATCCCTGCTTCAATCCTGCTTTCAGGCAGAGTATTACAGGGGAAGGTACCCAAGTTTGGGAACTGTTACATATGGTCTTTTGAGTTGTCCTGATTAACACCTAGGGACATGTGTTTTGCAAAATTCTGCCTTTCCCTTCATTGGCTCACCCTTGCCACTCTGTATGTAGATAAACCCGTGTCTCATTTGCAAAAATAATGTAGCTACACAGAAGCTTAATTTTTTTCTGAGTCTTTAATATGGTGCCTATGTGACTTGGATACTTGAACAAAATTCACCCACACCAGCAATCTGCTAATCTTTCATATTATATTAAAAAAAAGGAATGTGCTTAGGGAAATGTGATCTGTTCCAGCATAATCTGTGCTTTTTCTTTTTTTAACATTAGGATGAGCACAAAGTCAAGAATGTGATCCAGAGTTATTACTAATATTCCTCCTAAGGAAATTAAAACCTCAAACACCCACAGATGAAGATAAAAATATCACACATAGTACACCACAGTTTAATAACATTAATAATAATAAACATTATTACTAAATGAGTATAAACAACTATTTGAAGTCATATTTAGCTGGGCTCCCTTACAGCCAAGATCTGCCTAAACCTCCTTTTACTATTTACCCATGTATCAGGAAGAATAACTTATAGTTTACATAGGGCTTGATTCCCTTTACTCAATGGGATTTCAGTCAGTCCAAACATAAGGAGACACAGACAGACCTAGCTAAAACTGGAGTCAGGTGTATTTTAGATGAACACTTCTAAACAATTCTGCTAGCTGCGGGTTTTTGGTTTTGGGTTTTTTTTTTTTTTTTTTTACTACATCCTTCTCTCGGGCCTCTGTGGTACAGTTTTCCCATTTGGTCTCATGGGGCAAATCCAGAGCAACATGTAAGGCATTGGGAGCAGCACATGGGTAAGGATGTGCATGCTTAAACAAGGATATCTAATGAAACATCATGGAACTTCAACCTGATTCAAACTAGTCTGACACTGGAAGGCTTTAATTCACCTCTGCATTTGATCACAACCCCTGCCCCAAGAAGCCCAGACTAAAAGACAGGGAATAGCCGCAGAAGAACCAGTTTTCAGCCAATTTTAAAAGGCAAGCTTTCGGAAAAGGAAACACAAGGTCTGCAAGGAAAAAGACGTGCTGTGATGCCTGTAGCCACCTGGATGCATTACTGTCAGGGCGCTGCAGTGAAGGCGACTGCCCTTACCCGGCACTTCCGACAGCAAAGCCCGTTGCTGCACTGGGAACCTGCCGTCAGGGTGCAAGTACTGCAGCACTCTCCTCCTTCGCTGGCACACTCCTGAGGAACACACACACTTATAACAGAATACATGGGAAAAGCAGGTGAGCCCCAAGCTCTCTTATTACTTCTCGTCTTAGCGTGCTACCTGAACAGATTTTTAACCAGGTTTTTAGGCACCCGGAGGCAGGGAAAAAAGCATGCACTGTCAGGTATGAAGCTCCTGCACAGCTGTTTGCTATACAATATAGGAAATAATTTTCCTAACTTCACAGTGTCAATCATTAAATACTGACATTTTAGCACTGACCAGAGTCATGTTCCCATCTAGGAAAATACTTCCTTTAACACCTTTTAAGGCCTGATTCTGCACAGGTAGGTATTGCTATTACTCTTCAGAATTTATATGGTGATAAAATAAAAAAGCTGGCCCATACTGTGTTAAGCATGATGGAAAAAGGTAAGAAATTATGAATCCTTTGCCACAGGACCTTAACATTGCCTGTCTTCCTCTGTTTACTGTCCTGGAGAATCTAGTTGCTAATTTAAAGTACATCGCACTTACCGCTATCGTCCCACAGTCGCATTCTTCTCCATCTTCCACAAAGCCATTACCACATTCTGGAGGATCCAGAAGCTGCAGGGCAAAATCAGGAATCAAAAGGCATGTCTCTCCTAAGGGAATCATTGTCATGTTTATTCTGTACAACATGGTTTTTTAGCTCGTGCCCCAAATGCATTAACCAAAACACAGTACCCACAACTGGGGAAGAAACAGACTAGAAACACCACAAACGAAATGCGAGAGAACTAACAATGCTGTGATTTAATTCAGCAATACTGCAGAGTCACATGGCGTCTTCTGTGTGAGACTGCCCTTTTTACAGCAGATTCAGTTTGAGCAGAAGCCGCAATCAAAACCAAAACATGTGACAATGAAAGAAAAAAATTTAAACAATATGACACTTTCGTTACCATCACAGCAGTTGCTGTTGTTCTGGAATTCAAGTGATGAGGGCTGTGTCCCCATTTGACACCTGCACAATACCTTCAGAAGGCAGAGCCATAAAAAATTGTCCTTTCTGAGCACGTGGCTCAGAAATGCAGGGAGAGGGGAGAGACTGGGTTTCTTTGTCAGTTTTTGTTGAAGTTGGATGCCTTTTCCTTCCCTTTTTCTTTATCACAGTTTCTTTACCACAGTTGGGAACTTTCAGCAGTTTTCCATAAGCACGTGTCACAGGCAGATGAGAAAGTATAGCTGGCGAGGCTTCCTCCCCTTTCCTTCAGCCTCCCCACTAAACTGTAACCTAAAATGTCTAAATCTGTGTATTTGTACTAGTCCTTTCCCAGGGGCAAGATTCATTCACCATTTTTCACATAGAATCCATGCTATGTTATCTCTCTTCTTTCCAGTTTCATTGTTTCTGTTTTCCTAAAATTTCTAGAGGTAATTCTTCAAAAAGAAAATATTTTTTTTTTCCTTTGGGATAACAAAACATAAGAGTACTTTTATTACGTAAATAAGAAGGCATATAAGTGTGTCACCAAGACTGAAGTTTTGCAGATTGTCCTCCCAGTTCTCCAGCTAAACTAGGATCGTTCCAGAAACCACTCTGCTTACAGGCCATCTGCACAAGTATATCTCTCATGGTGTACAGTGCATTTTTCTCCGGCTGCTGCCTTTCTGCCAGTAGCCCACAGGATGGAGCATCATCCTGTGTACTTCACTGTGCCACTAACGAGCCTGAGGCTTGTGGTACAGGCTGATGTGCTCTTATTAGACCCCCCTGTTGAAATGGAAATTTGACTGCAGCATGAAATGCATATGTAGAATGTTGCATTAAATATAAGCAAGCAGTTATCTTTTAGAATTATTAACAAGTTGTTAAAACTGCTTGTTTCCTACATATTTTTCCAGACATCTTAACTTCTTCAGTATCTCTAGGTGTGCTGCACAGTACAGACAAGTAGATGGCAGTAACAGAGGGTCCTGCCTTAAAACATTGGGCCAATTTGCTGCAGTACATAGGGGCAGCTAAATAGGATATAGAAGAAAAAAAAACATGAAAACCAAATTGGGTAACTTTTCCCCAGAAGTCATATAATTCATCCATTCATTTGAAAAGAGCATAAGCTCAATCTGCTCTAGCAGTCATTGATGTAATTTTTGGGATCACAGCTGATCTTACAGTGGAGCGCTGTCAAACACTGTACCTTGTCACGTCATTTTTCCTTTATCATACTTCTTGAAAAGCAAAAGTAAGTTTGGGTTTCACCACATTTGATAGGAAACACATATCTTTGACAGCCTTGTGAATTAGACACACACCCATTGACAATAACTTTAAACCAACCCGAACAACAGTACATAAGAGTCTACATCACCCTGGCTTCCACATCTTTCACATTTCCACATGCCATTAGAAAAAAAAGTAATTGTTTTTTTCCAAGTGACAGATGTGTAAATGAATATAATCACTAAAACAAGCCCAAAAGACACACATTACACAATGGAAACAATTCACTCGTCAAAGAAATAAAACCACCAATATTTCTCTCGACCTTTAATGAGATGGGAAAAAGCAAACTTCTAAAATGCAGGTGCATTTTAAAGAAAAAGAAATCTTACATCTTATTAACAAATTACAGTGCTTTGTCTCCACTTTTAATCATAGAATCGTTTAGGTTGGAAAAGACCTTTAAGATCATCCAGTCCAACCATTAACCTACATTACCAAGTCCACTCTAAGCCAATCAAGGGTAGACTAGACTAAACCATGTCCGGAAGTGCCACGTCTACCCGTTTTTTGAATGCTTCCAGGGATGGTGACTCCACCACCTCTCTGGGCAGCCTGTTCCAACGCTTGACTACCCTTTCCGTGAAGAAATTCTTCCTAATATCCAACCTAAACCTCCCCTGGCGCAGCTTGAGCCCATTTCCTCTCATCCTATCACTAACTACATGGGAGAAGAGACCAACGTAACACAATCTTCCATGAAAAGGAGACCTTTGAGAGATAAGCAGATTCAGCTTATCCAGATTTGATGCCTTCTCTTCCCCTCTCTAACATTTATTGAAATTCTGTGGTTGTCAGAACATGCACTTTTTCTCAGCCCCTCCAGGAGGAACGCGCATCACTCCAAAATTTACTTTCTCTTTTACTTCTGTGACCAACTCAGCTACCAAGTCTTTCTGCCACGCTAAACTATCTTTCTGCCTTAGCCTCTTTCCTTTGCTTGTTGAAAGACAGCCATTAAATAGAGGATAACATTAATTATATATAGGAGAGAGTCAAGATCATTATCCCGATTACTTTACATTTTAACACATGCTTCAGTAAATAGAGCAGGAATATACTGAAACCCTGCTGCAAATCCTCCATTGCAGAAGTGCTTGCATCTTGGCTGGAGTTTCTTTAGCCTTGTTTTGTCTTTATCTCCCTTAAACGTCTCAGTCAATCATTTCATACTCTCTGCATCCTTCATGTGAATATACCCATTTAGCAGGCCAAAATTGAGACAAGAGAAGCAAAGAAAAGGCGAATACTATCTCAAGAGATATTCCCCACTTCACTTCTCCTGATTTCCAAGACTCATGCAGCAAGACCTCTGATTTCGTACTTCAGAGGCAAATTTGGAGGGGATGGGTCAGTCGTTTAAGTGGTTCCAATGCTTTTGTAGCTCTCCTGCCCCCAAGCCTTTAGGGAGGTAATGCACCATGCTAAATGAGGCAAGGTACAGTGGCACTGAGAACCAGGGTATAGCAGGGATTCGCCAGCCTTCCCTGTCTGGGGGACTCCCCAGCACAAGGCAGGGTTGTGCAGAGCCACATGTGCTGGCCTGGAAGGAGCTTAACACAGGGCTAAGATGGTCCAAGCACTTCTCACCAGACACGGTTCTCCCCCCGCGCACGCGGTTCAGGCGATGACAGACCCTCGTGACAGTGATGGGGAGCATGTGGGCAGCACCTGGGGAATGAGGAGTGTGACAGGCGTCCAGCAGCCATGGGCTCGCCTAGTGTCCATCCCCTACTCCTCGGGGAATTCTCTCCTGCTCTGCCTCTTCCAGCTTTAGAAAAAACTAGTCCCAGTTTTCCAATGCTGTTCTGAGAGCCACTGTAAAAACTTTGCCTTCTTTGAACAGGTTGAATATCACAACTGCTTGAACCGCTGGTACCTGCAAAGCCGCTGGGCTGCACAGCAGAGGCTCTAGGAGCTGTGTCTTCATCTTGGGACAGATGTGACATAAAGCCATCTTACTTCAGCTTCCAGAGATTTGTACCAAAAGACATCAGTTCAACCCAAATTAGAATTCAAACTGTGCAAAAGTTTACCAATACACTTGAAACCCCAGCAAATAAATTCAGCAACATACTGTATTTACAATATTCAGAACAAATTGTGTGAGAGATGGTTCTAGATCAAAGCCTGTGGGAACTCTGCTGGACATGAAACCATTTATTAGAGATTTATTTAAATGTAATATCCAAACTACTACAAACTAAAATCAGCTACTTTCACTCATATGTCACCAGAAAATTTAGAACTTAGAGAGAACCAGAAATATCAAAATTACAGGTGGGATTTTGTCCAACATTATCATTTTCATTCTTCTTGGTTTCATCTAAATTAGAAATAGAATAGAAATAATACTCAATAATAAGGTAATGCTTACTTTGGTTGGTTTATTGAAAAGGCAGGCTCCACCTCCATTGTTTAAAAATTCATGATACTCTTCAATATCACATTTGGAGAACTTGCTTGGAAGATAATACCTGCACAGAAAAAAGGTAGCAGGATTACATTCTATAGTGCTTTTTACACTATATTTTTTCAAAATAGGAGGAGAAATATAATGTTATACTTCAGAAAAAAGTACAAAACCACACTGTTCAGAATCAGAGTGACTATCTGCTTTTAACTCTATCTAATTTGTAAATCATTTTAATAAATGACAAAGAACTTTCAACAATGACACAGAGCTCATGGAAAGTGAGCGGTCTAAAAGATTTCACTAAGTTATTTCATGCCAAATACCACAAATCTTATTGCACAGTGAGTAGTTCTCACAAACATGACCTGTTCCACTAACAGGCCTGTTCTCAGAAATACATTTATTTCTTCCCATACATACTGCAGGAGACAAAGATTGCTCATAGTTCATCTCCCTCTTAGATGAAATTGCTCTCCTGGCCCACAGAATTTTTATATAACAGAGTTATGCGATTTTAAAACATGCTTCTAACAAACATCAGCTAACTGTTCAGCTTCCCTCTCTCACGTGACCCACTGAATAAACTTCATTTGAGTAAACAGTGCCAACCTAAGGCACAGTGCACAACCTAAAAACAATATGATGCAGAGAATCTTTGCATGGGTCCTTTCCACACAGAAATAATTTTTCCCAAAGTAACTTAAGTGATCTTTATATTTAGGTCCTTAGTCATGAAAGTACTTATGCTTCAAGCAGATTCTGGAGTCTCAAGGGCTTTCCTGTATCAGCTCATCACTGGATAAAAAAATATTAGCAGAAGTGCTATACAAAATAATCCTGCATTGCCAGGAGTGATGGCTTGCAAACCATAATTGGTCTTTTCCATCTCTAGTGTTTAGGATTTAGGTCTAAAGACTACAGACAATGTGGGATTCGCCATCATTCATCAATAAGCTATGTAAATACAAGCACTGTCTATATCTAAAACTAGACTATAATTTCATTCATATACATGACAAAAGACAGGCCTGTAATATGAAGAACTTTAGTTCTGAATATACACGTTAGAAAGCATCAAATTTCACCTAGCAGCAAAAATTTGCTGATTAACTAGTCTTCAGATAAAATCTCTCCGGTGGCATTATATGCAGATAAAAGCATACTCAACCTCCAATGGGAGCAGTTTTTCTAACATTATCACACAAACTGGACGATAAAAAAGTATAGATATAGATGAAAGATTCCAACAGAAACACTGAAAATGAGACATACTTAAGCAATTTGGTAATAGTATTTCAAGAATTAGGATGTGTCATTGTTTGTTCCCACAACTCAACAGCAAACTCGCAGGAGAAAAGAAGCTAAGCATGCTCCTGCTTCTCTGCAATGACCTGTCTTGGCTGTTGAGCTCTGTACTTTGAGTTAAACCAGTGGTCACTAAAAATCTTCACATTAACTCACTTATTCACACATTTCTTTGAACGTCTTTTCTACGTATGTTGTACAGCTAATACGTTACTTTCTGAAAAACAATTCACAGAAAATATTCTGCT